GAAATATATAATACTATTTGTAAGAAGCATTGTGTCATAAGAGAAGTTGTATTACTCTCCCAATATGTTTAAATAATTGACTTAATGAATAAGAATTGAATATTAGCAACTTTTAACATTATAATAAAAAAATTCTATTTTATTATTGCAGTTTATTATTCCAAATGGGTAAGTGTTATTATAAGTTCTTCCTTGATTTCTATCAAGGTAGAGGAAGTGGATAAAACTATTTTCATAATCGTCCAACGTCTAAAATATAAATTTTTGCTTTTTTTACTTTTTAGTTTCAGAGGTTTTTGAATAGTCTGACATACCTTAGAAAAAGTGGATGCATGTATGAGTGTGTGTTTTGTGTGAATACAATTTTTCGTCCACGATTTCGGGCGCACGCATCAACCGATTTGAATGATTGAAAAGGTATTCGATTCTTACTGATAAGAAGTTGCGATTAGTTTTGGATGTCCAATTTGAATAAAAACCATTCAATTTGTAATGATGGCGAGTTCTAATATTTCAGGAGATACGGTACGAAAAGTGCAAAGAATGGAGAGAATGAAGTATTCCTTGAATTGAATGATCTTAAAAACTGTTCGCTTCTGTGAAGAAACAAGTAGTTTTTGGAAAAGGCAAAAAATAAGATTTAAAAAAAAAATATTTCCAAAAAAAATTTTTTTTAATATAAGTAATGATTTATACTTTAATTTTAATCCTAGCTAATACTATAAAGCTCCCATATTCTTGAAGTAAATAATTTTAACTTGTTGGTTATATTTGTTGGCATATATAAACATATATAAACGTCGTCGTCTAATTTATATGCTCTTATATTTTGTCTGCAGAACAGAAATAATAAAAGTTACAGTATTTATAATAATTTATTTACAGACATTTAAATTTTCTCGAATATTTCATTACGGTACGGAAAGTTCCAGCAATTTTCCTTAAGACAAAATGCCATGATCTACTAGATTTTTTTTAAAAAAAAGCTGCATCTTCAAAAGAAAAGTTAAAAATTTCAACATTTATTTAAGATGAAACTGCCTAGCTGATCATTTCCAGAAACCAATCAGGATGATTCCTAACTTATGTCTTTTGAACATTTTTGAATTTATAAAATCGGTTCCACATTTTTGGCTAAAACGTGGATGGAATATTTGGCACGGCATAAATAAACGGCTCGGCGAAAAATTAATTATTGCAAGTCTTTATCAAGTTTCGTTGAATAGCTTTTAAATTTTTTAAATAAATTTCGAAATTTTGTGAGTAAACAAAGGACACGTCTAAGTAGCAATTCGATAGACGTTCTCAGTTTTTTTAAATCATATTTCATTAAACAAAAAACAATTAGAATGTTTAAAATTAATTAAACATTCGGAACAGAAATTTTTTAGCTTAATTGTTTTTAAAACTAAAATTGATATTAACGAGTATGTATCAACATGTATCTAATTTTTTTTTTTTTCATTTAAAAATGTATTGTTTTTATTAATTCGAACTTTCCTTTCACTATCATAAAAATATTTTCATTCTTATATGTGAAAATGATGCATGAATAACGAATAATTATTTTCAAAGTTATTTAATCAAGATAAACTATTATTTTTAGTTCTACTAATTGAAATTAAAATAATTTTGTTTACTATCTATAAAATTGAACAATAAATAAATTCAGTCAAATACTACTATAAATTACACTAAATTTGCGGATAAATTACAGAATATTCGAGCAAAAATTTATTTTTTATATAAAATTCGAAAACTGGGTAAAACCGGTTTTTTAGTAAAATTAAAATTCAAAAACCGGTTTTCTGAAATGTCGGTTTTTGTATAAACCCTAATGGGTAGTTGTAATGTTATTATAAAGTTAAATTCAAATTCGAGTTAAACTTTTTAAAAAGTCAGGTAAACCCGAAAGAAGCAACATAACTCCGGCACCAGGGAAGCAATGTTAAATGCTAAGACTGTTGCGACTACACCAGGACACCTACCAGGTCTAAAAATTAAATATTAATATTAAAAATAAAAAATGTTTGTTAAATGTTTTACCGATACTATATTCAATTCACCAAAATTTTTGAATTACCTCCCTGAATATTCAAAAAGTCCCCCGGGAATCACAGGTCTACAATATAATATAAGTAGGTCAAATTTTCTAGCCAAAACTAACTTCTTCTTTGTTTAAAAAAATATATTTTCTGGATAAAATGGATATGCGAATTTGGTTTGCGCTGTTCATTACTCATTCGATTACAATAAGATTAGTCAACAATGATAAATTCTTTGCTTTCAAGAAAATATGTAATGTCACCAGCCCTTACCTCACATTTTGTTTGAAAATCAAACAGCTTCTCTTTTTTACGTCTACGGCTTTTTGCTTATTTCAATTTGTGAAGCGTGGAAATGTTTGCGACAGTTTCTGATACATTTCTTGACGCACAACGCGCTAACGGGACCATTTACTTCTCGATAAACATTGAAATATATATGAATTATTTCTGAAAATATTTTCCTCCTCGGAGGGTTGCATCATAAAATTATATATGATTCGCATGTTTCGGAGGTCTCTCACATGCTTTTATACGAAACATACGATGTGTACTAAAGAGCCCGCGATATCATTAACTTTTATTACGCCTAATGTATTTATGACTGCTCTTTCATTAGGGTACAGGTTTGAGAATTTGTATGTTTCAGCATGCTAGTGTAATTTATCAAATCGAAAGTATTATAATAATACCATGTGGCCATAATTATTATTGTTGATAAAATGACTGACGATAAAACCACACATGATTAATAGGAAAATAATGATCCATTATTGGTTTAGAAATCAACGTCACCAATCAACGTCACCTTATCTGATCAACGTTAAAAAACCCAAATTTTGTTGTTTCTAGTTCGCAAAAACGTTGGTAAGGGATGTAATCGTCAAAAAAAATTTTTATAGAAATTTTTAGGACAATTTCGATTAGTTTGCTCCTTCCAAAATATGTCACATTTTCAGAAACCTTTATATAAGCAACAAAAATAGTTACTATGATTTATTAACTTCCTGTAGGGTAAGTTATTGTAAACGTCCAAAAATCGAAATTTAGAATTTTTACATTTCTTCACGTTTTGAAGGTTTCTGAACATTTTGGCATACCTCAGAAAAATTGTATGTGTGTGTATGTATGTATGGATACAAATTTTCGTCCACGTTTTCGGCCGCACGGATCAACCGATTCGAATAGTTAAAAAAAAAATCGATTCCTATTGACAGGGAGATGTGCTGATTAGTTTTTGGCAAAGACAGGTCCAGCAGTTACTAAGATAAAGAGCAAAGAGTACAGAAAATAGAAATCGAAATTTTGAGAGTACGAAGCATCCGAATATGAATGATCTAAAGAACATTCAATTAGTAATGATTCGGTGAAGTGGTTATCAGTCTTGGCAAAGGCAAGCCCAGCCATTTCGAAGATACAGAGCTAAATGTCCAAAATATAGCAGTTTTTGAGAGAACGAAGTGTCCGATTTAAATGGTTCAAAAACTTTCTGCTTGTTTTAACAAAATAATAGATTTTGAAAAAAAATTTTTTTTGGTTTCAAAAATTCATTTTCAATTTTTTTTTCAAGAAAATTTCCTTTTCTAAAATTTCTTTCTAGATTTTTGGACAATTACTATTACTTAACTTACGAGAAGTTAATTATTGTCGTGTGAGTTACTAATCATAAAAACTAATGATAAAAAATAAATGAGCATCTATAATTTCAAATATGACATTTGATATCTTTTTTTCAGTCCCATTGTGGCTTTTCACAACCATTAAAATAAAGTAAGATAGAAAAATTATGAACTCAGTTACAATTTTTTTACTTATATATTGTCGCTTAACTAAAACTCTGTTAAATGCCGTGTGAAAAATCGATTTTATTATTTTTAATACTAACAAAAAGCATTAGTAGTTGCTGTTGCACATGTATTTGTTACAATTACCTAATTAGATGATTTGCATGCAAAACTCATTGATATTGGTTGATAATGTAGTTGAAGTGCACTTTGTTAGCTTCCCTTAGGGTAAGTTATAGTAATCGCAAAAAAATCGATTACAAAAATTATATATATTCACGTTTCGGAGGTTTTAGAACATTTTGGCAAACCTTAGAAAAAATGGGTGTATGTGTGTGTGAGTATGCGGATACAAATTTTCGTCGACAATTTCGGGAACACCGATCAACCGAATCAAATAATTACAAAAGCATTCGATTCATATTGATAAGGAGACGTGCTGATTAGTTTTTAGCAAAGGCAGGTCTAGCCGTTTTGAAGATACGGGGCGAAAAGTGCCAAAACCAGTAACTTAGTTTTTAACAGAACGAAGCGTCTTATTTTAATAAATCAAAAAACATTTTACATTAATTTCAATTTTTGGGAAGGCAGGTCTAGCGGATTCAAAAATCATATAAAAAATTTAAAAAATATGCCATTTGACGGTCAAAAATGATCATTAGATATATGCACATCAAGTTATCAGATATTTTATGGAGATTTTAATAATGTGTATGTTTTTTTTTTACATTTTTATAGACTCCGTAACATCGTTTGTCCGTTATACGGCGACGTGGCGCTTACGAGCTTTGATAATTCGTCTCTATGCAGCTAAAGCAGGCGATTGCATTGAAAAAAATTCAAAATTTCAAAAATATTGCAAAATAAAAAAAACTAAAGTTTTTTTCCAAAAAGTCAATTTTTTTTCAAGCATATAAAATTTCTCAAAAATCAAATAATACCAAAATAATTTTTGGTACTTAAAGTTCTAGCAATGCCTTAGGGCCCGATGCCATACACCACAAGTTCAATTTTAAGATCACGAATTATACGCTTACAAAAATACAAAAAAAAACGTTAACGGTAACTTTAAAATAAATTAATATCTGCAAACCAAATTTTCTACATACACTTCTAAACTTAATTGAAACAAAATAATTTATGAAAATCGAGTATTATTATATGCTTTCAGTATTTTGAAAAGAAAGAACCATCGTGGCGTGACCCCATCTCCGAAGTGGCCCTCGAAAGCAACTCGCCGCCACTGGGGTTGCCCAACGCGCCCACATCTTTAGGACTGACAGGTGGAGCGACCGCCACTCCTCACGGAACGATTTCAGTTCGATTGCGCGAAAGGATCAGGTACTTATAAGATTATCTTCTCGGCATAAGCGAATAAATCTTTAAATCCTACAGTTTTATGGGTCATGGAAAGAGTTTATGCTGAAGTAGATTGAAAATTTATTTTGCGACTCAGAATGATAGTTTGATTAAACTTTGTTATTCGAAGGTGGTTACATCAATTATAGATTTAATCGACGCTATATATAACTATAAGGAATTGAAATTTTTATGAAAGAATACTAGGATTTATACGGGCTAAGTAAAATTTATTTTATATGGTTTAATAAATGTATGGTATAATAATGCTGTTCTGATTATTGTATTCAAAATCTCAGGTATGCCTTTCTGAGACTTTGATAATACTTCGCATAACGATAGAGTTCATTAGTAATATAAACATATTGAAATATAATAGGCATATGAAGAGCGGTTTAATTATAAAAATTAATTAATATTTTGAAAAATCGCTTTGTTCCATATCATTGTTTCGATAGCTTATTGGGTTAATGCGAGATACTGCCAATTATTTAAGCTCTTGTTCGGAATAGAAAATTAAAAATGATCGGGTTCAAACACCATGGACGTATAATTTATTTTTATTTTTTTATGTTTTTGTAATTAAAATTTGCAGTAACATTTTAAAATTATTAACTAATTGCATATATTGTGGAAACAAAAATTGATATATTTGAAACAAATCTATAATTTTATATGTACATATTTTGAAGGCAATTAGATTGCAAACCAATGATTTTCTAATTCTATTTGATATATTTTTTATACCAAAGCAACCTTTTGTTTTCCTTTTTCTGATTACAATGTTATTTAATTTTTTATGGAATTGACATCATATACAATTGAAATAAAAAAGCAAAAAAGCCAGAATTGCTTTGGCTTCATATTTTTAATCCTACAAACAACAAAAAATATTAACTTTACAATCATTTGTTCTGAAAACGTATTAGTTCTAAGATTTTTTTTAAAATATTTTTGAGAAACATAGAATTAATTCTATTCAACTTCATTAGTGTATTAATTGGCACCCGTAAGGCTGAGTAAAATTAAGTCGTATTGCGAATATTGTCGGACACAAAAAAAAAAGTATTTTAATTCTTCTCATTATTAATTTTAATTGCGACATTTAATATGATATCGTACTAACAAAGATTACATTATTATTAGTATATTTGCAAATCACATAAATGAAAAGATAATGAGAATAAATAGTATGATTTTTTTTAATATGTAATCCTAATTACTAGTAGACTTAGGATTGTAATTTGGAGACTTTGAATTACGATAATTTAGTTGGCTACTTGCATGACTATTTTTATACTTTTTATGTAAAACTTGCGTTCAAGCAGCAAAACACTAAAGAAATACGCTAATATCTTTTTTATGAATTATCAACAAATTTTCTTATATTTACTATAATATGGTACTATTTATTATGACCAAAATTTAGTAAATCCGAGATGATAAATAGATTGCTTAAATAATACTTTTTTATGTAACATTTATATAATTATTTATAATAATAAAATTAACAGTTGGTTATAATTGTCCACACTCCCAGGACGGTTGTGACAGACATAAACATGGATTAAAATACAATAGTATAACCAATACCAAAATGTTTTCTAACTACTTTTATTGTCATAGATATGTAACACTTGGCAACATAATAACTTAAACAAAGCTTAAGAATATAACATAACATTATATAGCAAAACATATTTATAAAGTTAACATATTTCTAAACAAATCTTTGTAACATTTATTTTCTTTTGAATTGAATTTTCCTTTACCTTCATCATTTGCATTTTCTATTAGTTGAGTTTGATTTTTCTCTATCTGTTTAGTCTTCGTAAAAAAAAATAAATACATGTCACAACCGTACCCACAAAATTTGTCACTACCGTACCCAATGCACTCTTTTGAAGACATATTATCGTTGTAGCTAATCTAAAATATCTACGCAAAATAGAAATAAATAAAGTAATCAATCTACAATTGTGTAACAGTTATTATTAAAAGGAATGGAACGAAAAAACTTATAATGAGAATGCGTTCATACTACATATTTCTCCCTTTGGAGAAATCTCTCCCTATCTCAAAATCAGTATAGTTTAGCTCTTATAACGACTGTCACTACCGTACCCTGACATCATCAATCAATCAATCTACTGTACTAAAAATATACTTATATAGTTATAATTTATACTTAAAAAAATATAATTAAAAATGATGTGTCTTACGATTACATTTTGTCGAGAATTTTAATTTATTTTTTCTTATTTAATTCTATTGATAATGAAATCAGTAATACTGAAAATCTGTAATGAAATTTAAAATTTTTAATAATATTTCTATTAAATATATAGAAGATGCTTACCATTTATATCTTAGGAACGTGTTTTTGCGTAAAATCTATTATGTGAAACCCTTAAGAATTTTCTAAAATTTATAACAAAAGCTCGAGCTATTGTCAATTGGAAAATGAGGTTGCCTTTAATAAATAGAAGAATAGAAGACAAAATTAATAAGACTCTTAAGTAATTGTTCATGAGTAAATTCATCATGTAATATTTCCAAATGACTTATCGAAAAATGCTTTCACCAGTTACGATTAATTTTGAACAAATAATTACTTGTAATAATATGTAACAAAACCTATAATTTTTAAGAATACTTGTATCAAATATATAGAATATACTTATCATTTGTATCTTAGGGATGGGTTTGTGCGTAATATTTTTGTTTAAAGCTTTTAAGAATCTTCTAATATTTATATCAAAAGCTCAAGCTCTTGTCAATTGGAAAATATGGTTGCCTTTAATAAATAGCTCCATACTCCAATAGCTCCAGCTCCACAAAACAAAATTTAGAAGATACTTAATTACATGAATTCATGAGTTAATTAATAATGTAATATTTCCAAATGTTTTTGCTCGATGAATATTTTCCTCAGTCTCATATGACAATTTTCTAATTTGATATATCGATTTCTCTACAGTTTTTATTAAAAAGCAATCCGATTAATATTTTTGTTAGCAATAATACCGTAGAATGTAATGTGAAATTCGATAAGACCATTATATGATATTAGAGTTATTGAGCGATAATAAAATACGTAATATCCCGCATTACATGGCGATATAACGGTATTATGTCAATTCACGATTTTCATTGCAGATACATTTGGCCGAATTGCCATTTAAATATTCACGATTTGTTTCGGCATACATTAATATCAAAGCTTCATTACTTTTTGTAATACAAAATGAAATTTATTCTAATCCACATATTTTACAACATTATTCGGACAAAACCAATTTATAATGAAGTACATAAATTACATTATAATAACGAGAATGTTAACATTATTGTTTATTGTTGTTTTATGCATAATTTAATACCTTTACTAATTACATGACATTAGTTTTGTTTGATCATTTGATTAGTTCACAAGTTCGTATCTGCAATGGACAGTTTTGTAATAAATATACTATATTATACGATGTTAGAATAAATGACAAATTTACTATACAAAAGTGACGGAATTGATAATTATATAGTTGAAACTAAGTTCTAGAATTCAAGTTAAATTTTATATTGTTTTTATAACAATGCATTCGAATGTAGATGTAAACATTTATATCAATTTAACACATGTTTATATTACTTTCGAACATCATTAAATGATTTTTTTTTTATCTATATCATATATGTTAAATACGTTTATACATTACATGTTGTTAAATTTTTCTTACCAAATAATAATAGAAATGAAGTTTTTATCGAAATAATTGAAATTCTTAAAGGACCTCTAATATGACAAGCTCTATCTATACTCTATCTATACTAGATTTATCTCTAGAAAATATAAAACTAATCTGAAAAACGCATGTATAATTTATGACATGTGATTACTACTGTATTAACAAATATTTTATATCTATCACAAATCTTAAGCCAACAAAATATTTTATTATTGAATTAATTACATTTTTACAATATCTCATTATTTATTTATTAGAACCTGAGCGAATGATTACTCTCGGTAATTAAATATTTAAAAATATATTTTATTTCACAGAAAACCAAATGCACCAAATTTAATAGTTTGAAAGCCATTCAATGTACCTCGATAAAAATTTACATTTATCAGTTTATTTATAATTATTATTATAATTAGAAGAGTAGAAAAATCGGAAAAACAATCAAGACTTCGATTTAGTAATTATGATTACTTATAATGTTTATATATATATAGTTATAATGATTAAAATCTTATGCCTGTCGTTTTCCGGTCCTTTTATCCTTAGATGTCTTGTGCAACTCATTTTTGCAATATCTATATTGAGTTTTATATTGATATCTATATAGTCGAAACCAGTTGCAACCTGCAAAAATATTTCCAAATAATTGCAAATATGTTTGCAGAAAGACCAAGAGCATTAGTTTTAACTATATTTGCAGATTGCTGCTGGATTCTACAAAAAACAACTCTGTAAAGATGTATGAAACAATGCAGAAATCTGTTTCCTAGATCATTTGAAGAGAGAAGTGACAGAAAACAAATTATAAGATTTTGCATCATTTTTTATTTCACCCTCCTTTCACAAATCTCTATTTCATAATAGCCATTTTAGAAAACGAATAATTTTTCACCACGCTTTCAATCAGTTAGTGTTTTTTACTAAAAATCAATTCATATTTTTTGTAAAAAAGCATGAATTTCACTTAAAATTAAAATATTTTATTTTAATCAAGGGTAGTCCACCCCGCCCATATTTCCCATGCAGACTAACAGTTGTTAACGGTTTGCATAAAGAGCAATTTTTGCAAAAAATAAAGAGGTTGAATATTAAGATCTGAAAATACAACAGTTTTTGGTAGGGAACTAGGCATCATGCAAACTCATGGCAAAACTTAAATTTTCCGTTATGTCAAATTTTCTCAACCTCGGTCAATTCGCTGAGCATTCCACGTAACAATATAATTTCAAAATGAATGTTCAGACTTTGCAAATGAAAAAACAAAGCAAATGTGAATAGCACTAATTTAGGAGAATTCCCTTTATGTGCATACAATAAAATTTACTGGGCGGATTTAAGTAATAACCTATTCTTTTCGTTCACTACATAGTTTTTTAGTTCCTGAACTTGCCATACATTTAATTTATATTACTTTTAAGATTAGAGTGCATATCTTTTTTATCATTAATTACTATGCTTGTGAAAATAAGATTTAATAAAATAAACATGAATTCTTGTTCCTAAAAAATCTTGTTTTTAACTAATTTTAATAGGTTTTAGAGATTAGGAACAAATCACCCATTTTTGTATAAGATCAATGTCTTTTTTACACGGTTTTTTTTTACACGGCTTCTGGAACCAATCTACCGTGTAAAAACAGACTTAGTTGTATATATATATATATATATATATATATTTAGATTTTTTATGTTTTTTTCTTCTTCAATAAACTATATCTTCCAAATATCTATAGTTCCTTTTTATTAGAAAAACGCAATACACTGCGTAGTTTATTATTGCGTACCCTTTCTCGGACCAATCTCATCGCAGCACTTTATTATATTGTATTTTATTATATGAGATATTATATATAGTATATGAGTGATCGGCCAAGGTAAGCATTCGATTTTCTTTCAGAGTGGACTTGACCATCGACAAGGCAGTTCGCGTGATCAATTTCAAAAACAACATCGTGATGAGTCTTGCAGGAACGGGTTCGGCCGCCGCCTTAATGCACCCTAATGGCAGAGTCTACCAGTACGGGTCAAGGGTAGAAATTTTGGCACACGATATACACAATAATAATAAGTAAGGAAACTATTTACTTCGCTCTATATGAGTAATCAATTTGCTTTTATTATATTCAAATAATGAGATCATGAATGAAATATTGTTATATATTAGAGACAAGTTTGAAGAATTTAGTGCGAGGCACCAAAGTAATATTTGACTTTAAGGGGGTATTCTAGTGTAGAGCGATGAATTTTAGGTCATTTTTAAAGTGTCGTAAAAGAAAGCAATGAATGTTTTTACTATCCATTTTTTACCACTTGTTCATTAATATTATTAAAACACGAAACAAAAATTAAAAGATAAAAAAGTTGAAAAATGTAAAAACTGGCAGCTGATAAAGTGGGTGGTCTCAAAAAATTGGCATCTTAGTCTTGGCATGATTTCAGCCCTCCTAGCCATCGTAAATGCAAAAAATAGAAAGATTATTAATTTACAATAATGTCGCAATCGCATGAACTAGCGATGAGTAAAAAAATTTTTTTCATTAATTGGCGACTGTTTGAAAAATAGTTTTTTTACTGTTTTTTGACTTTCTCGATTTTTTTAAAAATAGTAAAAATTGGAATTTGGGGTTAATCCTAATTCAGGCTATAGATAGGTTTATAAACAAGACTCTGAACATTTCAAGTAAATCGGTCGATTAAAACTCGAGAAATCGTGTCAACGGTACTGGAAAAGTCTCTTCTGAGAAAAACGCATTTAAAGTTTTGCGTGAAGCCAAACCAGTATCGAGACCGAGTCAGTAAAATGCCTATATCTCCGAAAATAATTCAAATTTTCAAAAACCTTCTCGTACACATATTCTTAGATAGTTAAACTTTAAAAATATGAAATTAAAAAAATCGATTTTTTTTTATTTCTACACTAGAATACCCCCTTAAGCAATTATACTGTCTAAACATACCAAATGAATTACATCACAACACATAACACAATTCAAACAACTACTTACTATGTTCAGTAAAATTCCAAGTCAATTCCAAATCATAGAAATGTGTTCTTTTATTTCTCTGAAATTTGTCGATTGTCCTTTTTCACCCCATAGCGGGGAAACAAATCGAATATTTAATTTTTAATTTTATTAAATAATAGCTACCAAACCAAAATATACATTATGATTACATTATTACACAGTATATAACCGATCTAGTATTTTGTCAGAAATATTCATCACCAATGTTATAATAATATTTATTTAATTTATCTCTTGTAAAATTTATTTTTTCACTTAATTTATGGTAATTTGGGCGTAATGGGCTTATTTCAAATATTTTGCTCTCTACTTGAAAATATCTAACTTCAACATTTTCATTGCGAATCTTTAAGGCCCACTCTGCTTTATAGCTGAGAAGTTATAAAACAATATATTTGAAAAAAAAAGCAATGTGTTTTTAATTATCAGTAATCCATTTAGGAACAGTTACTTATAATAGTTTTTGAATAGCAATCACAAATATTACTTTTTATAAACTACTGTGATGTTAACTAGAACTCTAGTAATAGCACTGAATTTTAACATTTAGATTAAATTTCTAAAGCCTTCGCCTCAGCTTTTAGTTTTCTTTCTTATACGTAGTTCGATTCCTTCCGAGCTTTAGTTATCCTCTAAATATCATTTTGAATCAGATTTTTTAAAAGTTATCTTTCCATCAACATCAGTCCAACTGCAGTCATTTTTTCTCAGAACGCGCGATATTCAGATGAACCTTTGCATGTTCATTTTTTTATCTTTTCAATCTTTCTCAAAGCTACATTTTGCATGCAAAACTAGTTGAAGAGAGCAGTAAATCATAAAGTCTAGAGTCAGATTACTCATCAGAAACGTTCTATTTTAAATCGCATTAAATTTTCAAAATTTTTGTGTTCTCTTCACTAATTATAGATATTAATATTCATGGAAATAAAAATTATCGATTTTTCTCAAAGTTCGAATTATGTTACTACTTCCTTCACTAGTAAACTTATTATTTACTACTACTTCAATCACGGTTGCATGTTAACGATGTCATTTAATCAAAGTTTTGCAATTAAAACGATGTTTGTTTATACCATATACCATCAGCTCAAACTTTATTGTTGAACCTTATGCAACAAGCTCTGCACAACTAGTTACTATATTTGACTACTAACTATACTTACTATACAAATATATATATATATATATATATATATATATATATATATATATATCCATATATAACAGTTGTTTATTCTAATTTATTTTTTTCTTGCGGTACAAGTAAGCGAAGGCAAAAAATATACTCAAATTTACCATTTTATTAGTCCCTCCGTAAAATAAACAAATTTATCAATTAACAATTTGACAATTATTAACCTTACACCTTATCATTCGGCCTTTACATCTCACTGATAGTATATCATAGTGGTAACTGTAAAATAACGAAAAAATTTAAAAAGTTTATAATTTTATAAAAAATGTTTTAATGCCGCTGATAAAGCTGATTTTATTTTGCAATAAGCCCACACCAAACCAGTTAATATCAATGTACAAATCACAATGAATGGATAGAAGCCTCGCTATCATTGAAATAATATTTATTATAAATGTGAGGTAATTTATATATTAATTAATTAAACGGAATTGGTTTTCATTGTAACGTTTTATTAGAATAATTTTGTGCTTGCAAAAATAATCTTAATAATGCATTAGTATAATCACTAACAGGTGTTCCATTGCGTGACGTTAAGCACACTTTCTTGTGGACAAGGTCATGAGTTTGAACCGCCGCCGTGGATAACTTGGTATCATGCAGTAGTGATATCACTTTTCATTTTAAATAATATATGAAAAATATGTTTCTAATTCAAAGTAGCTCATTTCGAGCACTGCGGATTGAAATGGCAATGAGAAATATTTCACACAATTCTTCTCTGAATCGAATAGGAGTTTAACTCAACTCACAGAATTGCCCTAGGGCAGTACTACCTACTTATTATTCTCATTATTGTATAACAGTTGTTACAATTGTTGTGCTTATAAGCCAGTATGGGTCATATTTCCCAATCGCATAAAGTTACTTTTTTTATTTAACCCCTTAAATTTAGATTCGAATCAAAGTTGTACTAACTCGCGCAGCGTTCGTGACTATTTTCTCACACAGTGTACAGTTTATCTCAAAAATAAAAATAATTTTGTATTTTACAGTTTTGTATATGTAAATATTTTGTAATTCATGCGATCACCGTACCGGGCCATGTCCGAAATGCGTAATATTTGCTTCTGGCCCGATTATCGTACCCGGGCTATGCCCGTAATATTTTCGTTTTGTAAGTTAAGGAGTTAAGACCAATCAACTTCATTTCATGAGATAAGTTTGGTAATATTAAATTCTTCTTCATAGATACACATATTTCATCATTTTCAGCCGATACGCAAAAATGTGGTACAAAGGCGTCAGTTTTACAAGCGACCAGTGCGCCTTAGTCTACTTAGTCGATGCTGCCGGAACACGAACGACCACGGACTCCTTCACAGACATGAGCCAAGATTTCTCACTGAGCGTCTTTTATAAGTAAGTTTGTTAATAAAAATATACCAATTTAATTTTAACATGTCGATTTAACGAACGGTAATTTATTAGAAAAGAATCATAATAGTAACAATTATATATCTATATTCACATGTGATGAGCTTTTCAAGTCTTATTGTTAGAAAAATACTGCATGTACGTGTTGTTCCCGCATGTCAGTACAATTTTGTACAAGACTTTAATTTGCAGTTTTTAAGTAGAGCACCACCGTAAGTGTTTAGAGCTATGGGATTAGAATCAAAGGTGTCAGTTTCGATAACCGCTTCGAGCAGCCTGATATCAAGTATTATTAACATTGGTTTGTAACATGAAACTATAGAAAGCAAAATGTTTTCAAATGAAAATAGGCTTTTCCCGGCATTATTGCATCAATGAAATATCCATCACTATCAAAGAAATTATAATAATAAAAATTATCATATAGGTATGGTAAAACTGTTTTGGTTGCTATCTATAAAACTTAGAAACTAGTTGAAGGTGCATTTAGCCTGAAGGCAAGTTGCATGAACTTCCCGAAATCTTAATCAATCCAATTTTAGAATAAGCAACTTGATATGCCTTTAACAATATTTTTTTATTTTATAATTATTAAGAAATTTATATTTATCACTATCATTGATTATAAAAAAAAAATTTTTTATTCTTTTTTATTATTTTTAATATAATAATCTGAATACATAAGTGGTTCTCATTGTGACAAAATTGTATCGACGCATACGATTATTTTTCCAAATTGTAGAAAACGATGATAATTATTATAACTTGATTAAAGTAAAGAATTTCTTGGTCATTTCAAGACCTTGGAGACGAAGTATATTTTCTAGGCAGAGGCTTCATATGTTTTTGATTTTTCAAAATCGGTTCGGTAGGATGAGCTTAAATGTGGACGAAAATTTAACACTTTTTTTCAACAGTTAATTACAAGAAAACGGCTCGGTAGATTTTCACCTAAAATTAATCAGTACCATTCCTAACTAATATCTTTCGAACAGTTTTTGATTTTTCAAAATCGGTTCGGTAGGATGAGCTTAAATGTGGACGAAAATTTAACACTTTTTTTCAACAGTTAAATACAAGAAAACGGCTCGGTAGATTTTCACCTAAAATTAATCAGTACCATTCCTAACTAATATCTTTCGAACAGTTTTTGATTTTTTGAAATCGGTTCGGTAGGATGAGCTTAAATGTGGACGAAAAGTTTAACACTTTTTTTCAAATTACAAAGAAACGGCTTGGCAGATCGTTGCACAAAACTGACAAACGATAGTCCTCACCGAAATACATCAAATAGCTTTTAAATTTCTAAAATCGGTTCAGGCGTTTTTGAGAAAGCGTCGATCAAAAGTGTAATTTTGACAAATGCCAAAAAGACCATACTGATTTTTGCAAACTTTGACGAATTTTTAAAGCTAAACCAGTTGTCGTAGGGCCGTAATATTTTAGTATGACCTAGAAAACTATGGTATCTATCGTCAAAAAAATAATCATAAAAATCGTCGAAATTTTTTTTTTAAAAACTTTATTACAAGAAAACGGCCCGGCCGATCTTTACCAAAAACTAATCAGCACGATTCCCAACCAATATCTATCGAACGGTTTTTGAATTTTCAGAATCGATTCAGAATTGCGGGCTAAAACGTGGACGAAAAATTTTTCAGTTTTCTGCAATTTACAAAGAAACGGCCCGGCCGATCGCCGCACAAAACTCAGAGACGATAGTCCTCATCGAGATACATCAAATGGCTTTTAAATTTTTGAAATCGGTCCAGCCGTTTTGGAGAAAACGTCGATTTACGGCAAAAAATCTGTTCACACACACACACACACACACATACACACACACACACACACACACACATACTTTTTCCAAATTTGGTCTCATTCGATTCAGAATGGCTTGAAACGTCCAGAAAACATAAAATTAGCGATTCGGATTTTTTGATGAAAACATAAACTTCTCCTTCGGGAAGTTAATAAGGTGACCATATGTTCCGGTTTGGCAGGGACAGTCCCGGATTTCCACATTGTGCCTTGGGTAATTCTAAAAGCAATATTTGTCCCGGATTTAGATATTTTGGATTGTCCCGGATTTTAGAAAATTAATAAAAATTATGGCAACAAACATACAAGCAATGCTAATATTTTCAAATTAATTATGAAGAAAATTGAGTAGAATTTTATACAAGGCTCAAAAGCAAAAAAAAACCTAGATCGAAAAATGTAAGATATAATATGTCATAGATGAAGAAGTATTACATATAATCGAATAATAAAGTTCGTACTAAAAGTCGACAGTTATGAGTAAAAAAATTGCCGCCCCGATTTTGTCTGGAAAAAATATGGTTACCTTACAATTAGTAAAAAATTCACATGAAATGTAGTATATTGAAAAATACTTATATATAGATATAGATGCCAGCTATTCAATTACAAAGCAATTTTCATTATTTATTAATACGACTTTTTTCATTCAAATGAGAAATTGCAGGTGACCATCGGAAAAGAATTAATGTTCTTAATAATTTAAATTGATTCATGTCGGATAAATTACATTAGATAATTTATTTTAATAAAGAAGTCAAATGTGTCTTATCTATGTTTAACGATTTTTTTTATCAAGATTTTTGTTAGAACTGAATAAATTAATTTTTAAATGTATTGTCTATTTTGATCAATGACGTTTGTCATCTTTCGAACTGCATTATCATCTCACTCTCTTGAAAATTCTTCGCACGGTTCAACCGATTTGAATGATTCAAAAAACATTCGATTCCTATTGATAGGGAAGTGTGCTGATTAGTTTTTGGCAAAGGCAAGTCCAGCTCAGCTGTCTCGGAGATATGAAGCTAAATGTGCAAAAAATTGCGAATTGAGAGAAATAAACATCCGAATCAAAAAACTTTCTACTTGTGTTAACGAAACAATTTGGCAAAAGAAAAAAAATATTTCAGTTTTTTTTCAATTTTGAACATCGTCGTCCAATTCTGTAATATTTTGTCTATAGAAAAAAAAATAATGAAAGGGTCAGTATTTATAATAATCTATTGGAAAACATATATTCCTCGAATACTTTATTACGGTACGGGAAGTTCCAGCAATTTGCCTTAAGGCACGACGCCATACACAACTAGTTTTGTTGGTTATTTTATGTAGGCATCAGAATTTATTATTCGGTTAGTAATAACAGTTGGAATTACACTATTCATTTTTATTCAACTTAAACTGGATGACTAAAGCTTTTTCATCTTCGAGTGAAAAATCACCTGAACAAAATTAGGCCAACAAATTGTGACACTGCCAATTTTTTAAAGCTTTGTGTAAGATCATAACTTTCGTGAGCTTACAGAAAAATTATAAAATTACAATTGAAATTATTACCAATGAATAATTGTACTATTACTATTAAATATTTATTCAATTCAAATTTATCGTTCTTAGGTTTTATGTAATTAAAAATTGCAATTTCAATCAACGTAATTATTTTAAGGTTTTTTAACACGGATGCCTGATGTAATTCCACTTATTACATCTTTCGCAACAAATATTTATTCAAGATTACACTCAAAATAATGATTTTCTGCGCCGTGAGCTTCATTATAGAATTCATCGTTAAATAATGTAGTAACTTGTACAAAATGTCCCAAAACATCTTAGAATAACGAGAGTACACAATGAATAATGCATCTGGTTTAAATATTTATTTCCTTCTTTATTCTGAATTTTATGCTTTCTGTTTCTTTTTCTATGATAATTCAATTTTAATAATGTTCTGAGCGGTCGGGTCACGTTCCAATTTCAAGTATCTTGTCGAGGTAATAACATTCTAGTTTTATTACAAGAACGGCATTTTAAAAGTAGTTTGAGAAAATAGAGGATCATTTATTACGTGACAAAAACTGTATAAAATTTCAATTAAATTATTGAATATATTTGCATACGTAGAAAGAAACTTTTGAGAAAAGTACTGCAGTTGAAAATGCAAAGTTAATGTAATTATTTTTGTTGAGAGTCTGAAAGTGTGTTTTAATTATACTAAGTAGATGAGTGTTTTTGTTATGAGTTTTTACAGCTGTAGAAAGTAAACGAAATTTTTAACTTCCCGTAGAGCAAGTAATGGTAATCGCAAGAAAATCGAAAATGAAAATTATTGTATAACTTTACGTTTCAAAAGTTTCTGAACATTTTGGCATACCTTAGAAAAAATTGATGTATGTGTGTGTGTGAATGTGTGTGTATGTGTGTGTATGTGTGTGTGTGCGGATACTTATTTTCGTCGACGATTTTGGGAACACGAATGAACCAATTTGAATAATTCACAAACCATTCGTTTCGTATTGATAAGGAGACGTGCTGATTAGTTTTTGACGAAGGCAGGTCTAGCCGTCCGAAGATACGGGGCAAAAGGTGCCAAAAACGGTAACTCTGTTTTTAAGAGAACGGAGTATCCGATTTTAATAACTCAAAAAACATTTTACTTTATTGACAAGATAAAAAACTGATTAATTTGTTGGGAAGGCAGATCTAGCGGTTATGGACTGTGAATAAAAATAATTTAAAAAAACGTCAATGCCCCCCACTAGCTTAAAATTCCGTTGGATAGTTATAGACTATTTGAATGAAAAACAAAAGTTATGAACGGATGTTTAAACAATATGAGATATCCCTTTGAACGATAAAAAATGCAACAGATTATTTAATCTTGTAGTTAAAATCTGAATTAAATTGTGCAATAAATTTGTTACTGAAGTTGCTGTGCTATAAAGAGCAGACCCGGTTAATATGGTTAATTAATATATAATATACAATTATAAATAGTTATATTCGTTGGCGGACATTTACTTTAATATTTTTATTGCTAATTTTCATAGAAAAAATTTAAGATTTAAATTTAAAATTTTTCAACACTGGTCATTTTCTTCAATTATTTAAGAAAAGATTGTATCAATAATTTATTATATTAACTTGATTGGAGCATCATTAAA